TAAAATAATTTATATATTATTTAAAGTGCACCACATGAATACAATTCAAATTTAAAATATTAATTAATTTTTTCATAAATACAAAATTATAGATGATATATAGAAATATAAAAAAAAATTATAGGAATTCAAGATATTGGTTGATTGAGAATTCTGTTATTTTATGTATTATTAAATGATAAAGTTATGAACTATATAAGTTTCGTTTTATATTGATATAAATTATATAATGAGATTTTTCAGTCAATTAAATACGTAACATAACATGCATGTACATGCATATTAAAATAAACTATACAATATTCTATTATTATTATTATTATTATTTTTTTTATTTTTTTTTATTTTTTTTTTTTAATAGAAACACAAAAATTTAATTCTTCAAATAATTTATATGAATTATTTAAATACTTTATGTTATAATACACTTTGAACTTTGAGTTAAATTCTTGATTCACAGTAAAGTAATTCACAGTAAGATCAACAAACAAAGTTCACTCATTGCAATTTATTAATATCAGGAAAAATTATATGTGAAACACTCATTTACCTTTGTGATACGTTGTAGTAAGTTTAAAATAAAAACAAATAAATTATATTCTATTAAGACTATACATTACATGTTTTAATATGTACTTCGATAAAATATTAAAAATACAATTTTAAATTTAAATTTAGATTTAAATAATACCGTTTTTTATTCTATGTGCTTCAGGGTGTTTTTTTTATTCAATCTATAATAGTTTTTTCTTTATATTAAATTTACAGAAATGATTATTTTGTAATTTGTATTTAACTTACAATACCTTTATTTTTTTTTTTAACTACAAACATCGTATTAAAAAAAATAAAAATAAAATAATAAAAGTCATTATTTTTTACTGATAGTTTAATATTGATAAGATATTAAATAGCTTTATAGACCTCAGTAGTCTCTCCAAGTAATGTTTGAAAAATAATCATACTCTTTATTGAGTATTTTAAAAGTAATTGTAATATCAACTATTTACAGTGAATTATTTCATAAAAATATAGATGTATTACATTCCAGTGTCAAATTATATTTCTTTATTGATCACAATTTCATGTTTATCCAAAAAAGGCACTAACTGAACAAAATAATATGTACTTAATGTATCTATTGCAATTTACATTTATTATATGTTATTTGACTTAAACTAAAAAAAAATAAATAACATATAAGCCATAGGGGTATATTGATATATTTATTATAATATAAAAACATCTATCAATATAAATACTTAAAACCTATCATATTATTAAATTATATCAGTTAATATAAATGAATTATTTTTAAAAGTAATATACTTGCAATATTTATTTTTTGAAATATTATATATTTTATATTTTATTTTCAATTAATTTCATATTATACAGTATATGTTGACTTTAATAAAAATTATTTTTTTTTTTTACTTAATTGACTTATATTTGATCTTTTTTTCATATATTATTTAATGACAATCTTAAGTCGTACACTAACGATATAAATTTTACTTGTAATTACTCTAAACGCTTAAAAATATTCTAATATATTATGAATTTATAAATTAATTTTTAGCCATGTATATGTTAAAGTAGTCTGTAAAATTTGTAATAATTGAAATGCCTTATTTATCTCTTTTGAAGAATAATTTTCTAGGTATCTAAACCAAAACATCAAGCAAAAAATAGCTATATATATATTACATTTATGTATATAAATTTAATTTAAATTCCAATTTGTCAAAAAATAAATAAATAGGAGAGCATTAAGTTTAATCCAAGTGACTTGGCTATAATATTTTAATACAATACAAGTGGTTTTAATTCAGTGTTATTCTCGATAAAATTAAATGTAAGATACATTCAAAAAGCATTCATGATATAAAAGTAAATAATTAAAGTTTGAAATTTAAATTTTCCCTAATATGATTCAAAATTAATTAGGTATGTTGAATGCAAATCCATGTTGAAATATGTTTTTGTTAAATTAGTTGGTACCTACAAGTTGGGCATGTAATTTATTATAACATCTACAACTTTTATTAATAATTACTAGGTAATTAAACTATGTACTTATTCAAATATAAATAATGAATAATTAAATTAGATTATAACTCAAAACTATAGAAACTAGAAATTTTGACCAAATGCTTATATTATTATTTATTTATTAGTTGTAAATGGGTAAATACATAATACTTGTATATTAAAATATGTTATTTAATCATTTTCAAAATTTGTAATAACCATTCTATTAAAGGTTGTAGAATTTTGTAAAAATGTATTATTATTAACAATAAATATAAACCAGACTTAAATTTTAATCTACATTATAATCAATATCGATATAGCTAGCCTTACTTGTGTGTTTTTGTGAACAAAGAAGTCGTAGAACTTCTAAAAGATTATCAAACAATTAATCATTTTGTTTATTGAAATTTAAATCCAAAAAGTCTGATTTAAATCCCATTAAATCAATATTTGAATTCATTAATAAATAATGAGTAATTTACTAATGAGTAAGAATAAAAAAAGAAGTTTATATCAACTATTTTTTTTTTTTTACAAATTATTTCCTTAGAATATCTTCGTGCATATAAAATAGTGAATATCATTAACATTAAAATATTGAATTAAATTATTGCAAAACCATTAAAAATAATATTTTTAAAATATTGTAACTTAATAAGCTGATATCTATAATACTTGTTCGATATTGGACATTAGTTTTTCTAAATATTAAATATTAATAATGTTTTTAACTTGATTATATAGTATAAAATAATTTAATAATGTCTTCAAACTAAAAATTATCCTTGGATGAGTTATAACAATAATTTAATTATGCTAAAAATGATTCTTTTTTCTATGTTGAGTGCATAATTACGTTATTCAATCTATATAAATCATCTCATATTAATTAACTCAACGATTACCGTGATTAATTATTTAAATTTTTCTAAAGTTAGGTATTTAAATGTTATCAATTACTTATGATACTCATATTAATGATATTATAATTTGTTAAATAAATATTTAACTTAGTTGTACCAAATAATAAATAATCTATTAAGTACATTTTGAACAACATAATTTAGAATTAAAATTTACCTATAAAAAAAAAGTTATCATCGTTTTCCATTATTTACGATATTGCATAAAAAATCTCATGAAAATAATTTAGAATAATTTAAATCCCCCAATACGATCTTAGGATATTCCAAGTTATGCTTACAATTTGTTCAGGTCATACTTCTTATGATGTTGGGTTAAAATATTTTCCTAAGTATTTCCAATACATATAATAAATTATTTTTTGTTTACTAGTAAATTTTGAAACTTATTGGAAATATAATAATTTAATTGCACATCAAAAGTAAAACATGGCAATATTTTTAATAATAAGCACCTAGCGAGCATACATTCATAACGTAATTGAGTATAATTGTGTCACTAATTTTGTAAACATTGCATGCAATGAATTGGTTGGTACCACATACATAGCATTATAATAAACGTGCATTGTTATATTTTAATTTAATATGTTACACATACAAAAATTATAATAATCTATGTTACAAAACTACATTTTTAAAGTCAACACTTTTTTTTTAATAAAATTTATTTTTACTGCTACCAAACGGATGTTTTTATTTTAATACAGTACAGCACATTAATTTGTTTAATGATGATTAATTTAAAATATATATTTTAAAACAATAATATTACTTTTTATACTATCGTGTTTTAAAACGTGTAAATTTACTATTAAATTGTGGAAACAGATTTCTCAGGCAAAGCAAAAAAAAATGTCTCTGAGAAATCTTTTCTTACATTTAATATAATCAACATTTTTTATTTTTCTATAAACTATTGTAACGCAGTATAAAGAAAAATGTTCACTTATGATAAATGATAATTAATTTTTTCAGCATGCGTAGTCAAAGAAGGTACGTAGTGCTAAATTTTCTAAAAGCAGTTTTAATCGATAACAATTTTTCATATTTTATAGAAAACTATTGTTTCAATAATTTTATAAAATCACGCATAAAATATAAAACAAAAATTATATTTTTCGATTTGAATTTAATTGTAATATAATATATAATAATATTATGCCAATATAATTATAGTATGAGTATCTGTTGATTGTTTCTTTTAAAATATTTTTGCGACAGTTAAAAACAAAAAAATAAAAATTCCAAATTTGGTAAAATGTGTTCATTTATAATTTTTACGATTTGATTTACACATTAGCGAATACTTAATAATTGACAAATGCAAATTTAATTAAAAATATTACTTTTATAAACTAGGTAGTTTGGGATTATATAGATATAAAATGTGAAATATACTTTAAATTCGTTGTCTATGAACAGTAGAGCATGATAATCCGAGTGAACATTTTAAATGTTCAGTCGGTAAGAACTGACTTTGAAGTCGATAGATTGTTTTAAAAAGCTCAAAGAGAAGAAAAAAAATAATCGAAAACGAAAATTCAGCGGAACAAACAGCGTGCCTGCATAATTCTATTATGACGTGGTTTACTACTCGTTAATTATAAAAATAATAATATTTATATATACATAAAAAAAATTACGTATATTCCGCGCACTCGAAGAACACACGTACATTATGATTATCTTTACAATCGAGAATCACCCAACGGTTCATTCGCTTATTGTACCATTCGTTATAATACAAAATACCTTCATATAAAATCTGCTGCTCCGCTATAATATTACTAAAAGCATGCATTGCAAAACGTACAACGACGTCAGTAAAAACGTGCACAGACACACGTCCTTTTAAATTTACGGTTAGTATCGAATGAGAAAAAAAAAATTTTAATTATTCAAAATCCAATGGTTTGCGGAGATTTTAGAGTGGGTATTGAGCTACTTATCATGTACAATAATGGTGCTTATCGGATACATATTAATACGGTTTGTAATATTCTCTATTATGTGTTTAAAAACGTTATTTATACGTACAATTGAATAGCGACTGAACGCAGCCCATGATTTTCAGTATGCGTTCCGTTTTGGAGCCGTTCGAAGATGTTTTCCAACCGGTCAATGTGCCACCGCACGCGTGTGTCTCAACGGTACTCTGGGTGTTCGCTACTGTCCGAAATCGCAGGCCTTATATTATTATATGACGATATATTATTATAATTACTATTATCACTGCTTCCTGTCCTGGCACGATTGGGCCGCGCACCGTCTCATGGCGCGGGAAAACCGCGGTTATGATGGCTTTCGGTGGTTTTTCCGGAAGAGTTTCCGGTAGCGGTGCGGGACGGGCGGAGAAAAATACCGAGAGAAAGATAACGCGGCGTTAGTGTTCTGGTCGCGGATAGTGCGATTTCAGGGTCGGGAATAGCGCGGGAAACTATCGGTGTTTTGAAAAAACGCCGAACGCGGTGCGCCCTGCGCGGGAAACGACTACCGTGGTTGTGGCAGTGTGGCTGCGATGTTCGCTCGCGCGAAAAACAACAACAACAACGACGGCGACGACGATGACGAAAAATAGAACGGCGGCCTCGTCGAAGTCAAACGAAAACGTAGTCTGACAACCGCAACGGCGGCACGGCTCGGCGGCGGCCGGCTGCGTATCCGGCCGCTCTTTCGTCGATCGCACGCTCGTCGATCGGACTACGTTTCGCGGCGTTCTGTCAGGTTGTTGCGTCCGCCGGTGCGTTGGATGAAAAACGTTCTGCAGACGGCGCTAGGGCGACCGAAATATTATTGTTATTAAAAATTAATGATATTAAAAAAAAAAAAAAAAAAAAATTTTAAAATTTTAAGCGATCGACGGCGATCGAGATATGGGAGAACACCGCAGAGACAGCGACGCGGCAGTGGCAGAGGACACGTTCGATCCAGAGAGCGGTGGCCGCGGTATAGATGGTATAACGCACCAGCGCAAAAATGCTCACAATATTATACGCGCGCCCGCGCGGCGAAAATCGCGATCACGCCGCCGAAAACGGCTATACGACGCCGACGCCGACGCGCCCGCACCGAGCGGCCGCCCAAACAAGTGGCCCCTGCCGTCGGCGCTCGGGAGTCCGCCTCCTCCCCAAATCTGACGACCGGTCGTCCACGGGTCGGGTTCGCGTTTTACTCCCCCCTACCGCCAATCCACCACTATATACGCTGGCCGTACCCCCCCGCCGGGCCCCCCCCCCCCCCCCCCCCCGACCAAAAGGGTATTTTCCAGTTTTGTTCTCAAAGCCCATCGCCGACGAAGACGACCCCGGTACGAGCTCTCGTTTTCGGATTTTTCGTCTCGGACAGACTGCAACGCGATTAATCGCTACCTACAGTAAGGTCGGATTGTACGTTTTATCGTTGTCTATCATCGTTTTTCTTCACTGGACACAGATAAAACGTAACGGATATTACGTGGACTCGGGTTTAAAAAAATAAGTACAAATATTTTTCGAACTGCATAACCGAATACGACCCTCAAAGTGTTTACAAAGAACTTGACATCTCATTTGCATGTTTTTCTCCGCAAAATATATGATTTTAATATTGGAAAATTAAAGACACAGACACTTTCGCTTTTAATGATTTGTGTAAATAACTTGATATCAAGATGATCACATGAATAATTTCGATTACTATTCATAAATCAACAAAATACAAACCCTCACCAAGCATGTTATGACATTGGACGATTTAAAAAAAACATTCAATCTGGATGCGTTGTATTATTTTGGGCGGCCCCAAGATTGTCGACGATAAACGATATGATTTGTATAGACATCTTTTTTTGTCTCACATATCGCACACATATATATGTTAAGAGTTATGTATGCTGTAGTTGAATTAATACCACACATGTTCGCAGTGATGAAGGCATGAATAACACTTATGATGTTTACAATGGTGGTTAAATTTTAAGATTGTATAACTTTTACTGATTACAATAATGAACAAATACATTATTATGTTTACATCTGGTCACTTTTTTTGAAACTTATTTGTTATTTTTTACATTGGGATAAAAAAAATAGTATACAATTTTCAATAATATTATTGTAATAGATAAACAGTTTTCAGTAATTTAACCATTCTATTTGCAATGTCTTAATACGTTTGGAATCAAAATCAGATCTTTGGATTTCAATATCAATAACTTATTGTATACACGTGTACAATCAGAGGGCTTTATTTCGGAACAATTTTTTCAAGTATACCTAATACCTACTTGGGTATTCCAACATTGAAGTATACAATTTAACAAACATTCGGGTGCATAATCATAACAGTTATTATTCGAGTATTTCTAAGTTATATGGGTTAATATCGTTAACGGTTGTTTATTAAATAATACAAAAACTTGATTTGAAAGTTATGTATAAAGTATTTTAAGTTAATAGATTTAATGATATTTTTATTCAATTTTTCTGATAGACATTAGATAATAATCCTGAATGAATAATTAAAATAAAACATTATACAAAAAGTTAAAATATTTTAATAATGATAATTATTTAATAATTAATATTTAGATACTTATTGTAAAATCATTCTTATCGTTAATTATTATTAAATTTTCTTATTATAAAATCGAAAAACAAAATACTGAAAATACTTATAAATATATACTACATGAACGTATGCAACATACAATTATATACAGAAAATAAGAATTATTTGAATAAACCAAAAAGTTAAGTTCGAGTTCTGATTAATTCGATTGTATTGAAAAAAAACCGTTCGAGTTATATGGATTTTGGTATTTATTTTTTAAGAGTTTTTAAGGATGTTTTAAATTTGAATTAATTTAGGTATAAAGCTCTGTTTACAATAGTGGTATTATAAAATAATATTAAGTGAACGTAGGGTTTGTTAAAAACTCTCAACCCAACATAATATATTTTATGAACTATTTTTTTTTTTTAATTAAAAATAGTAGGTATATTGGTATCGCTATGGCTGATTATCGTGTTTATATTTATATCCAAAATAAAAACACACAGATCATAGTAAAGTCAACAATAGATTAATGCCTTTGCTCAGAAAGTAAAACTTGATTTATTATTTTTTTTTTAAATATAATGTCATAATCTTAAACATTTTGAATAATTTATTATTATTATTTATAAAATACTTATTGAGTTAATATTTTTTAAATTAATATATTTTATATAGATTCAGTTATTTCAATACCTTCAATAAAAACAATTTACTTTTTTATGCAAGAAACTAAGTGTGGAATTTATTTTAATAAAAATAAAAATATTCAATTAATGACAAAACCCTTAAGCTAAAAATTAATAACATGTTTTAAAATATCAGTAGTTAAAATTAAAACTTAAAATCAGTTATTCTTACTATTAAAAGTAATTTAGTCATAAATTATCTTTATAATTATTAGGATAATATTTTTTTTATTTAACTTAACTTTATATACTCGCCAAATAAAATTAATTTTATTTCCCATTTTATAGTGTTAGAAATATTAAAAGAAAAAAAAATTAAGTTCATTGAATTATTTTTTAAATACTTTTTGGTCTTATAAATTTGTTTTTACATTATCTGTATGGTATATATTCCTTATAAAAATACATTATTAACTTAAATCACTTTGGCATACGTTTATTTATAAATATAAACATAATTCGATGTATAAAACATAATTTTTATATTTTGATATATTAATCAAAAATATCACTTTTAGTATATTTATACAAGATTACCTATCCTAATGATAATAATTATAATAAATTATAATAATTGTATAATAATAAACACTGTTTGGTTTATAGAAACGTATATAATTTTTACTAAACCATACAGAAAAGTAGAATCATAGTTTTAAGTTTTGTTAAATTAATATATCTAATGAAGTGCAAGGTCCTAAAATTAGTTTTATTTTGTTCTATACTAAGTCTGTAAGTTGTTGCTGTTTGGTAATTATAATTTGCAACAAAGAGTTATTGAATAACGTTGATATTTTTAGTGTTTTAAGCATTTTAACTATCAATATAAGCTTATACCCAATAATTACATATACATTAAAACATTTTATAACAGTGTTACTAATAAAATTAAATATAACTAGTTAAACATAAGATAACATTACAAAATTATGGATAAATCACGAAAAATCTTTTTATAATATACATCATGAAATGAGTTGATAATATTCACAACAAATAATTAAATGAATAATAATAATAATATATACTTGAAATAGCATAGGAATATATTATTTTAGAATTCCATTCAAATAGTACCTAGTATTTTAAGAATTTTAGAATACTTTAGTGCTATATTATTAATATACTTAAACAAAAAAATGTATTTTCATTGTGTTTTCTGATTATGACATTTTGACATTGTTCATAATTTGAATATGTCTACTACTACATGAAGCATATAACATGCGAGTTGTGACATTTTAATAATTCATAATAATTTAATTAAATTAAATATTCATTCAGGCACATTTTATTCGTATTAAAAAAAAAAAAAAGTAGTTCATAATTTAAAAAAGAAAATTTTAGTTTGTCTTTCTGAAGACACATAATTTACGTAAATATATTTTTGTGAAAATAGTAAATCACTTATTACAAGATATAAACTCAAATAAAAGGTTTTAGATTATTTGAATACATATTTTTTCAAACAAAAAGTTACATTCTTTTTCTTAAAAAAAAAATTAATACATAAATTAATCAAAATAAAGTATATATACATATATATAACCTGATTGCGATAAATCTTTTATTTTTCAATATTAATTTAGTCAGAAAACAGTAAAACATATTTGTTTATCCCTTATAACATGTTTAATCACTATGCCACTTTTATTTTAGATAATTAGTAGTGCCAGTTTGACAAAAATATTCATATCGTACACGAGCCAGTCTTCCCTTAAAATTAAAAATAAATATTAAAATGTAATGTCATTACAAAAATTGTAAATAAGTAACTCATTACTTCACTGGAAATAGATGTAGAAGCATGTACCATATATGAACATTGCGTATAATATAAGTACTATTATACAATACAATACAATATTATTATTGTAAATTATTTTACAATTCTGTTATTATTGTTATACATAGGTAGTAGGTACCTATGTATTATTATATATTACTCATAAAAAGTAATTTTGTTTAGAATGTTCAGTACACACGGCACTCGTTCATTATTATCCTACAAAACTTGTAATGTGTATAATACGTACAACGTTATTACTTATTACAATGTAATTATAACATTCTTATTTCAATGATAAATAGTATTTTTGAATGTAATTAATAATTATAATAAATTAAATATTTTTTTTTTTTTGTGTGTGCAAAGGTAATTTACTAACTTATGATAATCCAACAACAAAAATATTTTTAATTCACATAAGTGTTGTGTATTTTATATCACCGGAATTAAAAGAATGTTTATTAAATTAATTGTATATTTTTTTTCCTAACAGGAATTAAAAATATTCAAGAATAAGAATAGTGATATTTTAACCCAAACTACATTTAATAAACTATAAATTGATGTTTTTACTTACCCATTGTTTGGTGAACTTCAAACTTGATGATATATTATATTCATTCACTTCGAGTGTAATATTAGCTTAAAGTGCCTACGATACGTTATTAACTCAATAATGACATGATCGTGATGTATTCGACTGCCTATCATCGTCACACAGGATCGATTAAGCTAATCGAATTGATTCCGGCGGTAACGTGACAATTTAAAACCGAGTGCATTAGGTGTGTCGACATACGTATACCGTATCCTTATTTAACTTACGCGTATTAGTAACTTTATATTCTATAGGCAGTAGGCAGTAGGAACCACTAATGTTATTAGAGAATAAAATCATCAAAT